GGGGGCGCCGCCTGGTTCCCCGGGGGGGGGGGGGGTCGTGCCTGAGGCTGCCAGGCTTGTGCATACACGTGTTTGGGGCCACACTGCTCATGCACACGTGTGAGGCCACCAGGCTTGTGCACAGTTGTTTGGGAGCACCCTGCTCATGCACATGTGGTTGAGGCTACCAGGCTTGTGCACATGCATGCTTGAAGCCATCTGGCTTGTGCACATGCATGTTTGGGGCTTCTGGGCTTATGCACACGTGCGTGTGCTCAGGGCTGCTGGGCTTGTGCACACTCATGCTTGGGGCTGCTGGGCTTGTGCACATGCATGTTTGGGGCTGCTGGCTTTATGCACGCGTGTGCTCAGGGCTGCTGGGCTCGTGCACATGTGTGTTGGAGGTTCCTGGGCTTGCGGCAACTTGTGTTTGGGGCTGCTGGGCTTGTGGTCACGCACATTCGGGGCTGCAGCCTGGTCCCCAGGCCCAGCTGCCCCTTCCCAGCGCCAGAGCTGGGATTCCCCCCCCCAACACCTTTAACTTTCACATCCTGTTGTCTTGGCAGCCCCACAGCCCAGGTCAGCGCGGAGCTGGGGAGGGCAGGGAGAACAATGGGAGATCAGTGCGGGATTGTGAGAGAGAGCTGGGCTGGAGCCGCTCTGTCTGGGGCTCCCCATTCTGCCCTGCCCAGGCTTTGTTCAGCTGCAGAGGCTATCAGTGCTTCCTGCTGCCGCCAACAATACCTCCGCACAGCTGGGCTCTGTTTCATCTGCTTTACAGGCCACACATTCAAGTGGGGGGATTGGCTGGGGGGAAGGGGAGAGCCAGGCCTCCGCATTCACACTGCTGTGTGCGAGGGGGGAAGGGGCCAGGGGTCCCCACCACCCCCCGCCCCCGCATTTGGGTCTGGTGTCATCCTGCTTTGGGCAACAGGGGGGCTTGTGCCCAGCAGGTTTGGAGGAGCCCTGCAAAGGCGGGGAGGGGGGTCCGGTGACGAGAGCCAGCTTGGGGCACTGGGAGGCTCTGCAGGGCCACAGGGCTGGGGGCAAGGTATGAACCCCTGGAAAAGCCACGTTGGACACGGGGAAACTGAGGTGTGCCATGGTTAGGTGACTTGCCCGTGGTCATGCAGCATGTCGGTGTCAGCTGCAGACCCCCGCCGGCTGCAGGGCCCTGGCGCTGGGGGCCGCTGGCCTGGCATCACAAGGCAGCTGTGGCCCGGGCTCTGGCTGGGCACCACTGCCACGGGCAAAGGGGCATTGGCTCCCTCCTGGGGGTGCCCTACCCTGGGGGTTCGAGCCAGGAAGGATCCATCAGTCTGGTCTGTGCTTCATGCTGCCCAGGCCTCGTGCACGGCTTATGCTGAAGGATGCTCCTGAACCCACCTTTGCCCCTGCATGCCCTTTCCAGGGCAGCGCCCGCTGCCATCACTTGCAGGAAGTGAAACCTGGGAGTCATCTTCCGCCTTTGAGTTCCCAGAGAGGCAAAAACTCCTGCTCCCAGAGCAAAGCACCCGTGGAGCAGCCTCTGCCGGGCTCGGTGCTGCAAGAGCACCATGGGGAGGAGGCCGAGGCGGATCCTGGCCAGGATGAGGGCGGGGGGCAGTGCTGGGTGAATCCTCCCGGGCACCTGGCACACCTGCTCTTACCCCCACGGCACAACGGGGCTTGTGCCCGCACTGCTTTGGCAGTTCTGGGGGGTGAGAGCTGGGTGCAGGGGTGGGAGCTGCAGCTGTGCCCACCCTACCCTGGCACCAGGGCCCTCTCCTTGGTGCCCTTGCTGCGCCTGGGAAGACCCCGGTGCCTCTGCCAGCTCCGGGCTGAAGCCTCACCCACAAGGCCCTTGGGTCCAGGGTGCCCGGCAGCCACCCCCGGCTCACGGAGCTGGAGCAGGGGCAGCTCAGGCGCTGCGGGGCGACCTTGGGGAGCCACAGCCCCGCACCCCCTGACCGGGCCTGAGCTTCCCCACGGGCCCCGTCACTCCCTGCACCACTGGGGGGGAGCCCGGGTCTGGGGGGGCAGCGAGTGTGCCTGAGTGTGTGAAACTGTGTGTGTTGCAAATTGTGCGTGTCAAATCGTGTGTGTGTGCGTGTTAAACTGTGGGTGTGTTGTAAACTGTGTGTCAAATTGTATGCATGTGTCACAGTGTGTGTGTGTCAAATTGTTGCAAATCGTGTGCGTGTGTGCATATGTGTTCGTTTGTGTTAAACTGCGGGCGTGCTGTAAACTGCATGTCAAATTGTATGTGTGTGTCAAATTGTGTGTTGCAAACTGTGTGTGTGTGTGTGTGTGTGTTAAACTGTGGGACTGATGTAAATGATGTGTCAAATCGTATTCGCGTGTCAAACCATGTGTGCGTCAAATGGTGTGTTGCAAACCGTGTGCACACCTGTGTGCGGGTGTGTTGTAAACTGCGTGTCAAATCGTGTGTGTGTGTGTGTGTGTGTGTGTGTGTCAAATTGTGTGTTGCAAATCGTGTGTGTGTTAAACTGCGGGTGTGTGGTAAACTGTGCGTGTAAACCGTGTGCGTGCCCGTCTCCCCCCGCCCCCCGTGTTACTGTCTCTTTAAACCCCCGGCCCGCGGCGTGGCGCGGGGCCGCGGCCACGCCCCCGAGCTGCCATTGGCGGGCGGGGC